CAGCGCAGCCGGCCGCGCCCTCCGCCGCTCCAGCGCGCGCACCAGCCCCGCATCGCCTGCAACACGACAAGACATACGTTAACCATTGTACAATACTTCAATATAATGCTGCTCAATCCGAATGTTGTAGTTAGTAGACTTTTAATGGTTCCGAAAGAAATTATAATGCCGTGCGTAAAAAAGGTAAATCTCGCATTGGTCTATGTTTGTAATAAAATGGGAGAGATTCCAGAAAAAATAAAAGTGTTGTTACACTACAGAATGAGTGAGTGAGTGAGGTCCTGTATCAGAGTGCATCCGGAGATGGCAATATAATTGAATGGTTTTGTATGATATACTTAAAGTACAATAGTATGTTTAAATAACTTATACTTTCACAGTACGGTTTATTGGTCGACTTCCGCCCCGACCTCGTGTAATAAAGACACGTTACGAAACAAAACATATTGAATGAATAAACAGTAATCGTGTTATATGTTTGGCGTTTTCATTAGCGAATATGTTAGAAGGATACAACGGTGATAACACTAACGTATCTTTGGTGTCAATATTTACTAGGAACAAATTTTTCAATCAAAAAATGTAATAAACTAGCGAGATGTTCGTCTTATGTTTACGGGTACAAAAAGATTCAAAGTTTATAACAGTGGCGCATATCTGACACAATGCGAATGAAAGAAAGCTGATTATTGTGTCCCACCCTCACATTCTTTTAAATCCTGCCAGCATTTTCCGCGCCATAGCGAGCACCTTAAAAGTTTGAATAGCACTATACCCATAACTACAAGAAATGAATTGGAGAAGTGTTCAATAACCGTTGCCTCTTCTATTTAAATTTATATTTTTCTTATACTTCCGATGGATTACTGCGGTAAATACAACCGTGTGAATATGCCATTAAAATAACTTAAGATCAAGTTATAATTGTTCTCGAGATCATGCCCATACCAGGAATAACTTAAGTTGGCGATGCTTTATGATATATCATATCATATCATAACTTATAAGTTAGCAGTATATGGCATTGCATTTAGATTTAAATTTACAAACTATGAAAAGAGATGGAGACATTTTTTTCAGTCAAATCACAATTTATATTGCATACAATAAAAATGCTGCATGTTTAATTTATTTTAGGCCTTTATCTAAAAAAGCCTTAGTAGAATATTAATAAACAAATTAAACCTTTTGAGACAGCTTTACCACGTTTGTATAAAACAAGCTTTACTATCTACATAACCTGTGTCAATAAGTAACCGTTTCTAGTTTACTGTTAGCTAAAACTGAGTCAGCCCTAATTAACGGATCGTGTCCAATGCGTAGGCTTTAGAATTAATGTTTATCTACTACAAGATAAACAGCAATGTACGCGTAGAGATTGAAGGTTTATGGTTGTAAGGGTTGTCACTTTTAGAGAGGGCGCATACATTTGTACAAATTCCACAACTGTTGTGCGATTGTCGATTGTTTCGCAGACTATTCAACTGTTTAGTTGCACTAATAAAAATCGAGTAGTGTGCGCGCCTCCATATAAGCTCATAGGAATCAAAACACGACTAAACACTTGTGCATCAGTTTAGCCAACGGGGTTGCGCGCTCTTGTTAAAATTTTTCTTGAATAAATGAGAATAATTACGAAACTTTAATACGTTTAAGAACTTATGTGTTCAAATACATTTATAAAATACTAGCTGTTCCAGTGTGACTTCATTCGCATGAAATTGTGAAAATTGTTTTATTGATTATATTTGTCAAATTCAATTCCAAATGTCAAAATGACAGACATGACATGACGACAAAGCATGGCAATTTTGCTTTCTTGATGTTGGCAGCAACTTATGGTCTCTTTCCCACATTAAGGTTATCCAAAATATTTAGTCCCTAAGTTTAATGGCGTGAAAATATATAGATTAAGGCGTGATGTAAGTGTAGGCCTTTTTATTAAAAAAAAATAATTATTCAAAAATAAGCTGTAATTGCTGACATCTTAGGCAACAAATAAGTGTTTGTTTACGCTTTATTATAATAGTACAGATGGTAACTATGCTATGTCATAAGCAATGCTAAGAAATAAAACGGAGTTTATAAATACGTGGTAGGATAATTAAAAATCCTGTTTGTGTTACCAGTTTTTTAATAACGGTTTATCTATAACAGTTACACGCTATTAGCAGTTAACATCATTTTAAAGCGACATGTTTTGGTCATCTTAAAAGCGTCTTCATTTCATATCAAAATTTACCGAGCTTGAAAGATACTCGGTTACTAACGGGAAAATCCAGTTGGAAGTCTTACGGTTTTTACAGCCGATACACTTGTATGAAAACATATTAACATCCCTTCTAACTTATTAAAAAAAACTGACACATGTAGAGTTTCGCCAGTGGAAACTCTCTTTTTTGTGTCAAATATCGTTCATTCACACATGTTCCAAATTCAAATATTCTTTTTTTAAATAACGTTACGTTTTCGATGCTCACCATAAAGGTTATAATGTCATGAGAACTATTCAATTTGGTTACATAATATTTTAAATAATAAAAAAAACATATTGAAACATTTACGACTGAATTAGAATGTTTTAATAATTAGTTTAATGTATTTGGAACGAGAGCCCCAGTTTTAATGAAAGGTTAATAGGGGTTATGTAGATTAAAAAGACGAAATAAATTGATTTTAAAATAGTTGACATTAATTTATAAGATCGTTGCTATATTGTTTTTTCATATAAAACGACTTTTTTATATAAAATACGTAGACAAAGGAAACGAGTGTGCTGTTATTGCCACCTGCCCATAGACATCTGAACTAAAGCCATTTTTAATTATAAAAGTCCATTAAAATATCTCACTTCCACAATAGTTAGGCACAACGGTTGGTTATGTCACAGACATTGTTTAAAAAATAATTGAGAACAAAGGTCGGTGACGAGGACAGGCGACCTCCTTACGACGTAATGAGATGTTATAACAAGTATACAATACAATTAATTGTAGCCTTGTGACAAAATAAACGTACGCACTCGGCGCAAGAGTTGGCACTTCGGATGAAAAAATGCTGTTCTTTCTCACGTGCCAACTTAAAAGTGAAAATGAAAATCATTCTTTGACGAACATATTTGTTGATACATTCCTGCATTTTATCTGTGCGAAATCCAAAATTTTCTCTTAAAAAAAACATAGATTACAATTATTCCTAACTCAATGACAAGATTGCAAAATAAATGTAATTCAACACACAAAATATGGCAACACTCGTGTTTCATTAACGCGTGTTCGCGGCCATGTTTGTTTTGCGCGCGCGTCGCGTCACAATCAACGACATTCGATCTCTCAGCATTGTATGACAATGTTAATTGTACAGACTATACGATTCAATTATTTCATAGCCGTACAAATGTGTATCGCTGTTTTTAATAATCCCCTCCTTTACAATTATTGATGATTCCTCCCTAGGCTTTTGTACATGTTACAATTAATTTTCTTGTAGATATATAACAATTATACAACTGACGAATTTTTAAGTTTAATTAAGAATTATAGTTTGTCAGCTTTCAAGTCAATAATTAAATTCAAACATATACCAGCTATCAGAAGGCCATGCGACGTTTTCGGTGCATCCTAATTTCATTAAAATTTTATCAAGAACGTTCTACTTTAGGTAAACATTAATCTTGGAGATGACCATCGTTGGACGTCCGCTGAGCGACCTTATGGTCAGGAGTGGAACGGTCACGGACCGTCGCTATTGCAAAACATGGCATTAAGATTTTAACGCTATAACGACATACAATTTTTTAGAACCATACAATTTCCAGCGAGACTGAAAAACAATATTTTAGATAACGATTGTATAAACAAAGAAATACGACCCCCCCATTTTTGAACTTTATAATATAAGAACAGAGGTCGTCAATCTACGGCCCGTTTGTAAGCACAATGACAAATCTATTGACACAGATACGACATACGAGGGTCAGATATCAATTATTATTAATAGCGCCATCTGTTGCAAATAAAAATAAGTTGTGGTTTGAACAAATTTAATAAAAACAATAATCTCCTTTATATTTTTTATTGCAAGTACTATACTAATTCCGGAAATAAAATGAAATATGATACAAAAAGCAATAACTTCCGTGGCGAACGACACTACAAAACACGTAACACGTGACCTTCATAATAATAAACGCAGGCAATATGAGCTTCAATATAACCTCAATTGCTACGTATTCGGAACACGTCTGCAGTGAGGCGTCATTGGACGCAATTGGACGCCAAATGTCGCGTAATACTGTCATAAAACAATGCAATATATTGACTTGTCATTGTACTAAAGATATACCAAGATAAGAACAAAACTTCAATTATGTAAATTTTCTTAAGAAATTCTGCAGAAATGTATATGCATTTCATATAGTAAAATAGTTTAAAAACTAGGTACAGTTTTAGCGTTTTGAAACAACCCAAATTAAGGTGTATACCATCTTATAACTTGGTCTACATCTATACTATCCATACTATTAATATTATAAAGAGGAAAGATTTGTATTTTTAGAGTTTTATATGGATTTGATTTACGCAAAAACTACCAGGCCGATTTTTTTCATTCTTTCACCTTTTAAAAGATAATTTATCTGTGAGTAACATAGGCTATTTTTTTTAATTTCACGCAGACAAGTCACGAGCAACAGCTAGTCTAAAATAAATAAGAAAGACGGTTTATTCAAAACGGTAGTAATTTTATATCGTAGCAGATTATGGTGGTGAACACTTTTGTAATGCCTCAATAGATGGCAGTGTAAGTAACACGAACAAGTTAACACTAACTAGTTCCTTATTACAATTACAAGTGATCTTAATAATAGTTATGATATTACAGACAACAAAATGTAGTAATTTTTCCTTTGTAAAAAGTATATTGAGAACCATTGTGTTCGAACTATTCCTCAATGAGTCATGACGTGTAGATCATGGCTGTTGATGTCTCGGGTTTTTATCTGACATTTGTGACGTCACGTCGCTACGTCACGTTAAGCTATCCGACAAACTTATAC